TTAGTCCTTGACGAACAAGCTCGTATGCTTCAGACTTACGATCCATGCAATTCAATGTCAAACCCTTCATTGATAAAGTTTCTATCAACCAAAAGGGAGAATAATGACATATATAAGAAAAATGATTAAAGAACCATATATATATATATATATATACATATATAGTGCATAAAAATGAAACGGAGAAGGCAAAATTTGAAAGGGGGAATAGCATCGTGTTTCTAGTGACCCATTAGAAGAACTTAAAAAAAGATTTTAATAATTCCCTAACAGAAGAAAATGCATGAATCACCAAAAATAAAGAATACCTCCATGGTCCGGAAATTTTTTCAAAATAGCATCAGCTGCTTTGAGTCCCTTTTTGTATTGTTTTGTTTCATATGATTTCTGCAGCAAGGTGAACAAGGGGTCAAAAAAAAAAATAAACTGTGTGTGTGTGTGTGTGAGAGAGAGAGAGAGAGAGAGAGAGAGAGAGAGCTTCATTTATCAGTTTCCCAAGAAACGAAGTGTTTTCACTTATTCAGAAGATTACCCGTGAACATGGTGAGCAAACTTTACTTACAGTGGCTACACAATCATGCATGAATATTCCCACGTGGAGAAAACTAAATCATATAACAATCCTACTCAAAGGAATTTGCTATATATCATTTATACAAAGCAAAGTCATTTGGCTCCAGAACGTGGATACTTTCTTACGACAGGCAGTGAAGGAGGAGTCTCAGCATTTTCAAAGCAGGGAATTCACTTAATTACTCAGTATTTTATATTGTATTCCCGTTAACAGGTAGATACGGCATTCGCCATGGTGAATTAATATTCACCAACCATATACACAAACTCTGCCGTAATTTTCAATATTATGAAACCCGATAATTCAGTGAGACCACCCCCATTCCCCTCGGTTTTCACTTTTATCCAGATTCCTTAAGCAACCAAATAAACCGTAAGAAACCATCCACAACAAAGGACATAATCTTAGGGTTTCCAGATAGCGAAAGCAATCCAGGAAGTTGAAGGAAGTGATTAAACTTGGATCGAACCATGAGAAGCAAGCAAAAACAAAATAGCAAAGGAGAGAATAAATGCAATTGAAGCTTACGACAATAAGCTTGAAGAGGTTGGCCTCCTTGGGGGGCAGAGAAGCACCCATTGTTGGATGAAGAGGAAGAGAAAAAACAGAGCTGGAGGGTTTATGAGAAGGGGCGGAAGCAAATGAAAGAGGTAATGGCGAAGGGAGTGAGTGAGTGGGAACGGACAATGGTGGCGTTTATCTGCTTCAAAAGCAACCCTACTACGAAATAGAAGCCACCGAGAACGGTTTTGTTGTGAAGACTGCTGCAAGGTGCTTGTGCGTACAAAAACGAGCGACCACTTGACCTTGCTTGGTTTGTCGGGTGAAATTGCCGTTTACCCAAATATCGACTCGTTAAACAACAGACCTCAGAAGACATTAATCAAGCTTTGATTTAACTCGCACGAGGTTCTACCAAGGTCTCGGTCCAACGCATGTATATGCAATTCCACTCGGATTAGTTCAGGTCTTGAAAAGTTCTCTAATTGTAATAGGCAGATTAAAAATATGTTTGGTTGTTGGTTTGTTAAAGTCAATTTAGCACAAATTGATTGTTGGCAAATTAAAAGTGCCAGTTTGGAGAACCATTTATAATCAATTATGTGTCATTAAACCATGATTTTGGTAAAAGGAATCCAAACACCCTATTTTTCAATAATCAATTTTCTATCCTAAAACTCGGTTCTAAGCTAAGCAACTAAAGGTAGCTATTGATTTTTAATTATATCTTTTAGACTCATGTATTACGTGTCAGAAATTTTACTTGCCAAATGTATCCATGTGTGTCTCATGAACTCTTCGAGCAATCTCTCTAACTCTAGTGAATGCGTGCAGGGTCCTCCCTCTCCCATTTCTTGTTACCGTGAAGCCTTTTCTCATACCAAGACCCCATGATATCATGTCATAATATTAACTATTGAAATCATAAAAGATTCTTCTATTTTAATATGATTTTCAAATATAATTTTCAAAATTAATCACACGCTCATATATATATATATATAATATTATATAAATATTAACTGGATCATTATTTCAAATAATTATTTGTTAAATAGAATTTAACAAATTTAATAATATTATATACAATTATATTAATATTTATATTTTAAAAGACAGTGTCTTTTAGAGTAATTTATACATCTAAAATTGATTTTGATTAATTCATCTAAAAATTTTCAATTGCATCAAAATCAATTTTAAAAAAATAATGTCTAAATATGATTACATTATAATATAATCAATTATAATTAAAATTAAGTATGTTAATTAATTTTTTATAATCAATTATATCTAACTGAAATACAAATGACTCCAAAATTAATTAATTGATATGCAATAAAAAATACTTTTAAATATATAATTATTGAAAAGGACATGTTTTATGGCATGTAATTCTTGTTATGAAAAAGTTGATACGTTGTTGATAATAAAAAAAATTGATATGTTAAAAAAATATATTTAAATATAAATTTGATATGTTAATAATATATATACACACAAAAGGTATAAATATGATAAAAATGATGCATTTAAATTTGACATCTTTATTCATACTTGGTCATCACCAATTTGCCTTTAAATTGTGATACATTTTTGTAGCTTCAAGGTGATACACTTGCTCTTTTTTTCTTCCAATAATAACATCCTCAACCAATCATTGTTGGGAACGAAGACTCTTCTCTTGAACCTTAACAGTTCGTCCTCATCCTCAGTATTGTCACATTGCTCACCTTCCTCTATCATCTTTCTAAGCTCCAATAAGCTTTATTTGCAGAATTTATTCCTAAAAATCCAAATAAAAACTAAGCTAGGAGGTGGCGGGGAATCATTATAGGAGAGTTACCTTGATAAATTCATGCTTTAATCCATCTCCAGGTGCTAAACTCAATGTGCCCTCACATAGCCAAAATGTCCCTCTCATGTCCTCTCATTTTTTCTTTCTACTTTGTTTGAGCTCATCCGGTCTAATAAATCAAATTTTTGTCTATCTATTGCAGTGAACGACACAGTACGCCCAATTCCAGTATTGCTCTCTTTTCTTGGGTTCACTGTGATTTAATACCCTCATTAGTCCAATTCCAAATCGAACCTTTTTATCCTTTATAATTAGTTTTTTGAATTTCATTTTCAATTTTAAGAGCAAAATTCCAATGTACCAAACGTGCTACCTTATAATAGTATTATGTAATCAAGAGGTAATGAATCAAGTATTTTTCAAATTCTAACCAGTTCTTATTCAATTTATCCTTCTACTTCAAAGAAAAACATGAAGGAAATGATACATAATAATCATTTACACTCACATTATGTTATATTTGCCCTTATTTGGTGCACACCATGAATTTTAAGAGACTGAGAATGGACTTGATAATGGGTTCGGGAAAGGGTTTGGACTTTGGAAGTATAAATAAGTTGTAAAAGTATGCCATGGAATACTTAAATAAAATTATTTAATATATGTAATTATATTTTTAAAGGAATACTTAAATAAAATTATTTAATATATGTAATTATATTTTTAAAAGACTGCAATACCCTTGACAAAAGAAAAAAAGAATTCCCATGATGTGGAAGACGAAGGTAGCCACCAGCAAGCAATTGCTTCCCTCTCGCCATTGATGCATTTGCATCACCAAGTGACCAACTCAAGGGCTCGTAAAGAAGTTTACTTGCTTCCTAGTTACCTGATTCCATGCACCAACTCCATATTCATTGCTTCTTCCTTTATATCTACAAAAAAATCTTTGTATTTAAGCTGAAGCTCAAAACCCCAGCTTAACACAAATTTTGAACTGTACAACCAGCGATGAACAGACGAAGAAAAGTGAGACTGTATGGTGATGTTGAACTAGAATCTTAGACTAGTCCCAGTTGTGCCACTTGCTGACACTAAGCCATTGTCAAGTCGTTCTCCCCCTCCACTTACAAATCGAACACACTCAGCCATCGTTCTCTGCTCCTTCTCAAACCTTTCCTTTGTTACTATTGCGCCCAAGTTTCCTTTCTTTGTGGTCACCTCTTTCCACTTTGGTAAATAAATTTTCAAACTAGTAGGCACCCACCATGCGCCAGATTGAAGAGGCCAGGGAAGAAGAGGCAACATTTTGACCATGGAGGCTTGATGAGAAGGAAGGACATTTTGGTTTAAAAAGTTTAAATCCCAATATTAAATCTTCAATATCACCTCTCACACCGATTTATCCTATTTTACCTATGTAAATTTCAAAAATGTTAAGTAACAATCAATCTATCATACCAAACATGGTGAAAATAAGCTAAATCAATCTCAATCCCAACCTCTAACTTTTTAATACCACCTACTAATATGACTTTTAGATCTCGTTACATTTTTAAAAAGAATGCGAATGTAATTGATTAAAAAAATAAAAAAAAAATTAAATCACTCTTTCTTTTGTGATAAACATAATAAAATTTAACACTATATACATAAATGTAAAACTTATCACACCTTTCACAAAATCTTATAAATTATGGGGCCAAACACTACGAATTAAATTGTTCTCCCTCTCTTTATAAATATGATTTACCTATTCTCTTCACATTTTAACTATTTTATTTTTCTCAATATTTTTTTAATCAATTTTAACAACCAAATGGGCAATTAAGTGAAACTATGTTTTTAAAATAAAAATTGTGTTTATTTAAACAGATGAAGCATGATCGCTGCTCTGGGAAGGCAGCGCGCGCATCATCGTTTGTGCCTGGTTTAAGTTGCATGATAGAAAAAAAAATTGTGTTTATAAATGTGTGACATTCGCCTCATCGAGTGGACGTGCCGGAGTGGTTATCGGGCATGACTAGAAATCATGTGGGCTCTGCCCGCGCAGGTTCGAATCCTGCCGTTCACGCTTTTAATGGACTTGTTTTCCCTCCTTTCTTGAGTGAACGACAAGTCGTAATTCGCGCGGGAAGGGGCAGTAACTCCCGCTCAGTCTTCTTCATTTTTTTTTTTTTTTGTTTAATCAATTGAGTTTCAAATTTAAATACGAACGCATTTAGGAGACACTGCCCTCTGTTCCCTCTTCGCCAATACTTTAGGGTTCTATCGATCTTTTCTGCTCTCTTCCAAGCAAAGCTCCGGGCTCGTCTGTAGTGGATTCTTATCTTTTTGCCTTTCACTTTTTGGTATACTCCTTTAAACCCAGTTGATGTTTTAATTATTGAGTATTTTTGAATTTTTGTAGTTACAGTTTGCTGTTTTGACGTGGTCTTTTAGGCGCCAATTAACTTACCTGCTTGGACGTGTTAAGTAGCGAATTGAAAACTAATGATATTGTAATGCTGTTCTATCTAATCCATGATCCTGTCTTCTTTGTCATGGTGAGTACCTGGATATATTGTACTTGGAAAGTAATTATCAATCTTAGGATTTGTTGGTTTTTAGTTGTAGTATGATAATGAACACCATTCATGCATCTTGCCTTTTTTTTTTTGAAAGAAATATAATTCATATAAAAAACTATACAGAGGCAGCCGCTGGTTTACGGAAAGGTTCTTGCACATGAGATCAGAAACAGAAAGAAAAACAAAACAGCTTCAATGGTTAACAGAGCCTGCTGCCTCGACAGTATGCTTCTGTAATGCTAAGACTTCATTCACAAGTCTTACCCCTGTGAAGGATGTGTTAGCAAAAAGCCTCTTGTTCCTAGCTTCCCATAATTTCCAGCACAGCAACCAAATAAGAAGAATCTAAGGATGACTTCTCCAGCTAGGATTTAAATTGGAAGTTAACCATTGCTCTAGAGGGAGGTTGTGGAAGCAGGAGTTAACTCATTAGGCAAAATTGGCTGCCAGCGCTCTTGAGCTAGAGAACAATCACGTCAGACGTGCCATAGATCTTCAGTTCTTTGTCTGCATAGAGCACAAGTATCATCTGGACCCTGGGGACATATGTCTCTTGACTCTCTTTGTTTGTGAGCAGCTTATCTTTGAGACTAAACCAAAGAAAAACTCTATCTCTAACTCTCTGAGCCCCTGGCCATTTCCAAGTCAGTTTCCATTTAGGATCAGTATTATCCCAAGAGTTAGCCATAGCCAATTCGTAAGCAGAGGCAACAGAGCATATGCCTCTTGCTTTTACAGCCATTGCAAGGTCCCAATAAACTTATGGAGCAGGCAAAGTCCAGACTTGATGTTAAGCCAGGGCCATTCAGCTCAGGATATTTGAGAGATCCAGCATTTAATGGGAGGAATGATGTCATTTTTGAGGAGGCTAAAGGTTATCCCCAAAAACGAAGGCCAGCTTTAGGCCACAAACGCGCACATTTCTCATTGAAGCCTGATAAGATGTAAGTCTTACTATTATCCCCCCCCCCCAAAAAAAAAACGTTGTCCTTCAGAGGCTGCTTTCTGTTTCTAAACAGCATGAGTTTCTCTGCAGATTGATTGTGAATTGACTATGTGTTTATCATGTATCCATCTAACAGTTGTCCTAGTGAGACTTTAAAACCAACTGTGGACATTGATTACTTGAAGGATCCAGAGGAGTTTTTCATGGCCTATGAACGGCTGGAAAGTAAGTCATACTCTAATTCACTTGCTTAATACCCAGTGTTTGCTATTTCTAAAGCTTCTTTTGGAATTGTAATTGATCCATAGATGCCAAAAGAGAAATACAGAAGCAAATGGGTGGTGTATTGTTCGAGCTAAACAAGAACAATAAATCCCCTCATGCACGGCAACGTCGACCAGGACTCTTGAGAAGTAACCAGCGGTATTATTAGAATACTTAATCTCCTCCATTTTTTTGCATCATGTATTACATTGTTTAACGTGGTTTTAATATCATGTGGGTCAGGAGGTTGGTCAGATATAAGCACCGGTATTTAGTGGAAACTTCTGACAATCATTATCAATTGCCTTCCTTTCAAGAGATATTTGAATCAGGCAGTCAAGGTCTTGTTGGTGAGAGCACAGAGAAAACAGGGCCTTGTCTTGCATCATTGGAGAGTGAACTAACTGGTATGTGATTGCTACTCTAAGGAATAAGATCGGCAGTTATTTTTTTCTTTTAGTGCATAATGTTCTATCACTTATCCTACCTTTTTCATTAGAATATGAATATCAGAGCCTCTTCCCTCTCTCTAATATATATACTTCAGATTTCCCTGCTTCATTTTGGCCCTATCCTATGGTAACTTTTTTTTTTTTTTTTGCAGATTCATCTGCTGTGGAAGAAAAGATAGATGATATATTGAATGAATTGCAGCATAGTAGTTGTGAGGATCTACAAGGAGATGTAGCTATCCCACATTTGCAAGAGAGCTTACAGATCAGACCCATTGTCTTACAAAAATTGTCCATTCCAGACTTAGCAGATAACCAACTGGCTGATTCGAACTCTTTTGGATGTAACTTGTCTAACCCAAGGAAGGTTTTATCCAACAAAGGTAATTTGTTGAAAACGATGCAAAATAAAACACCGTTGAAGCATAGATGGGATGCAGGAAGCACTTTGCGACATTTGCCTTCAGCTCTTCCCACCCCACCAAAGAGTCCATGTGCTCTCCTATCATCATTATTGAAGCATTGCTCATCTTCGAGTTCCTCAGTTGATCCATTTCCTTTATTTGATAATGATAATTTGCCCACAAGAAACACTCCTGAAGTGAATCAGGAAATCAATCTTATCAATTCTGGAAATCCCTTAATTAAAGATGTTGTAGTCTGTATGACAAGCTCAGTTGGGGGCACTAGAAATTGTGCCAATATATCTGGAAAATCCAGGGAAGATAATTCAAAGAAACTTGGTGTTGATCCTAATTTTAGCTCAAAAGAATCTCTTCTTGACATTGATTTGGATATGGGATGCATTGACACTGGTGATGGAAATGTGGATGCTATAGTATGCAGGCCAAATTCTGAGGTAAATTGTGCATGTGAGTTTGAAGATAGTGAGCTATTCTTTGAATCTTTATGTTTTATCATCTTATGAGATTGTGAATATTGTTTTCTTACAAGGTACATGAAGAAGATATGCAGGAAGCAGTGCCTTCTGTGTCTGCAGATGACCCAGAACTTAACTTGGTGAATCCGCTGGGTATGGATATAATCATCAATTTCTGAGACGCATACATGATGCATATAACTTAGCAGAATGCCTAAGATGATACTAATTGGTACATCACATTAATGGCTAAATGGACTGTTTTGATCATTGATGATATAACGTTACCCAGAATTCCGTGAACTTCCTACTTGTTAATCATGTAAGAATAAAGATAAACCCCCAGATAACTTGTCATTTGATCCAATAGCTGGAGAGAATCTAGTTTTTAAGACCTAGTGCTTATATTCCCTTTTTGTGTGAATCTGTCGTGGCATGAATTAGCAGATCAATCAAATCCTGTCGGGCTTAAATCCAATGCTACAGATGAATGCACTGTAACATCCGATGATGGTGAAGCAGAACAGCATTTTCAGGTTACTAACTTCATAGAGAGTTTCTTTTTTGCTCCATATTTTCTTTTGCATCTTGGTTTTAATAATTTTAGCACTCTATTCTGCATGAGGTATAAATAAGTCAAGCTTTTTGTCGGTTCTTGAAATCAAGCACCTGATAGGACCTAACACATAATTATGCATGAACGTGGTCACCCTAGTCCAGTTAGTTCTATCCACCCTTTATCCTATTTGAAAGGCAAATATAATATGCTATAAATTATACTATCAAATTAAAATATATGTTCAGAATTGAACTTTGGTTATGAGTATTCTGTCTTTCAATAGTTTCTAGAATGCTAGAATTTAAAGCATCTGAACAAACTATGCTTAAGCTACATGATTTGGCACATTATCCCGTATCCCCCATTTCAGCGTGGTTTCATTATTGTGCACCTCCATGCGGAACTTCTTGTTGGCTGGTATACTTGTCATCCTTCTGTGGCCACGAGTTTCACATTGGATTCGAGAGTGAAATGGCATGTCCTTGGGACTAACAACTCAGATGTCTATGTTGATGACTAAACTTTACTAGCAGAATAAACCTTGTCCAAGCATAGTTTATTGCCAGTTCACTTGGCTATAACCATTTGTAAAAATTGTTCAGTATCTCAGTGCTTTGCTGCTTTCTGTGTAAAAAGTTTATACCAGAAGGAAGAAGGAAAGGAAACCAACTATTTGTTTGATGGTTAGCAGCTTCTGTAATTAATGTTTCCCCCTGAAGGTACTAGAGAAAACCAAAGCTTCCAGGGCATCTTTCAAACAAAGGAAAGACAAATCATATTCACGGAGAGAACACAAGAATAAAATACCTTCTAGAAGGCAGAACCTTGCAGGTTTGAACGGTCACGTTGATGTCACTCATTCATTTTCAAAAGTTCTTTTTGTCACTGCTTAGCATATTGAAATAATGCTGTTTCTATGTTCAGCTGCTGGTAATTCTTGGAAGTCTGGGGTAAGGCGAAGCACTAGAATCAAGACAAGGCCTCTGGAGTACTGGAAAGGAGAAAGACTTGTATATGGTCGTGTTCACGAGAGTGAGTGTAATTATTAGCCTTACTTAGGCATTGCGCATTGTGAATCTAGAAAATTGTCTTCTCAACCGTGGTGAGATTGCTGTAGGCTAAATCATTTTCTAAATCATGACTAGTATGCATCCAATGTTAGCTCCCTACCTGTACATCAGTTTTATGCGCCCTCTATTCTTGTTAGTAATGGATATTAGATAGTTTAGTCTTTTGTTTTAAGTTGGCCTTTTAAATAATTGATGACAGCGTGACTTTTTACTTTCAGAGGCTAGTAAAATAGAAACAATAAACTGTATCACTAACCAAAAGATATTGTGGCTGAGTACAGGTTCAAGCTGAAAGATGATTTAGCTTGATCTGTACTCTCTCCGAACTACAATATAAATAGCTTTTTAGAGGCTTTGTTTGGTCCAAAATATAGGGCATTGGGTAGGTGTTTTATATGTGTGTGTGTTTAATTATACTTTTACTTTATTGGGTAATTAATGATGGTCTTTTGAATAAGTTAAATGTTATATTTATTACACTCAAGGACATAACTGAAAAAATACAAACAAATTTAGAAAATCAAGATTTTGACCAACAATTTTTGAGAAACATAAATTAATTAACAATGATTTATGTTGTGGCTTAGGAGAAATGTAGTTTATTTGCAGTCAAATCAAACAAATCCTCACCATGCCACGTCTGAAGTTTTAGAGTTAGTTTTATCATTGTATGGCTTGCAACAATGATGGAGTTTTGATATAATAAATTTGACCAATGCAGGTTTGGCCACTGTCATTGGGGTGAAGTATATGTCTCCAGGAAGCACTGATGGTAAACCGACTTTGAAGGTGAAGTCTTATGTTTCAGATGAGCACAGAGAGCTCTTGGAAATGGCTTCTAAATACTGAAGCGTTATTCTATTGAAAACAGCGTGGGTCTTGTGTTTTGGCTAAAGTAGTAGCAAAAGTTCATTATGCCTGTTTATCCTCCTGTATGTTCTAACTTGGCATGTCTTTTTTTTGGGTAAAAATAGATAGGATAAAAAACTTACTTATGCCCTGTTCGGTAGGAGGTATTGGGAAAACCCACTAGTACAATAGTTGTGGTGCTTGATGGCTATGCACGGTGGTGCTGGACAGATTTGGATTCAACGTATATTTTTTCCCCTAACAAGGATAAAGATAATATGGTATTTTGATGTTATAATTATAAATATTAAATAAAAATTATTCAAGCATTCTTATACTACGCCAAGCATGTTTTTTAAACTGATTTCTATTCTCATTTCCACTCTTATTCCCACTAAAATTCATTCCACATACCAAACAAGGCTTTGGAGTATGCTTTCCAAGACATACCATAATAGTTTATAATCCTCATGTAGTAGAAAACCTCCCAAAAACTGCCCATTTAAAAAAACTAGAAAATGTTTAATTTTTATAAGATATAAATGGTGAGAATCATTTCAGATTTTTTTTTTATGTAGTACTAGAGTCACTTAACTAGTTGGAAGAATTTTGGTTGGCTAAGATTTTCAGTTTTTAGTATCACGTGTTGTGTGGGATTGTAAGTTTCCTTTTTTTGAGAAGAAATTCTGGATCTGTCATTTCATTTGGTAATAGACGAAAGCTTAATGTAGCTTTTGCTATAGATGAAAGAAACAACCGGAGAATTTCCTGAGTCGTAATTTTTGAGTTAGAAACCATTTAATTTAGCAGAAGAGTATACTTGGGATTAATCAAAGAATGATGGTCCTACTTCAGCTTAAATTTGGAGGAAACGGGAAAAAATATATTAAAATATGAAATAATTATTACCAATAATTTTACTCAATTTGCGTGGGGGAGAAACTATGTAAGATGATGTTACTTGCATTTGACCCGTACACCACCCCCACAGAAGTTTGAAGAAGTCTCAGCTCTAGTGTCCAAGAAAAATATCTCTGAATGATCTTATTTTGCTATAAACAAATATTATTATATTAGAAATCAAGGTTATTGCCCCGACAATAATTCCATAACAACTACAAGTCAGAATGAATTTGGTCATTCTGATTTATCAGAACCTTCTAACTGATTCTATAATTGCTTCGATATGCGCTTTCGACAAGCTTCCAGATGAACTAATCAGCCGCCTAAGACTAACTGTCAAAGGTAAAAAATAAAAAGCTTGGTTCTCCTTTGGTTACTTTATTATAAATTAAATGAAATGAATTGAAAAAAAATAAAGATAAAAATAAATTAAATTACCTTTTTTTATATTAAATATGATAAAATTTATTAATATATATTTTAAATGTAAGAGTTATCACACTCTTTAAAAATATTATGAATCATGATTCTTAAACTCATAAATTAAAGTATTTCTTTTCTTCATAAATGTGCTTACTTATCCTTTTTAATTATCTTATTTTTACTTTTATTTTTTCAATTCATTTGTTTATTATAAACAAATGGGACCTTTATTTAAACTCATGACTTGATCTTAGGTTTTTTTTAATCCCTTATAATTTACAAAAAGTACTTAAATTATATAATCATGTTTCAATAGTTGGAAGGAGTTTAAATGATCTTGAGTATATTTATTTTGAATGGTATCTCATCATATATGTATGAATGCATATAAATGACTTTGTGACCGCTCCTTATGGTAGTATTGTAACCCAAAGCTGTTAGTCTAAATGTTAAAAGTAACACTTCTCAATTTCTTTTTAATGATGTTTTAAAGATTATAATTTTAAGTACGGTAGATCATATAATACTTTTATAGAAAAAATTAATTAATATAAAGTTTCAAGATTTTTTTTTATAGAAAAGTTTCAAGATGGTTATACTTGTAATATACTCTTTCTCTTTCTTTTTGAGGAAAAACTTACTTCATTCATTTAAAATTGTAAGTCATTTTTAATTAAATCTCATCTTTCAATAAAATAGTTACCTACTTTCTAGTTAACCCTATTGTTTTATATTTATCTCTATTAAATACCCTACGATAAATATAAAGTTATTATCAATAGGGATACTTTTGAAAAAAAAAAAGTAATGATTACATCTTGAAAGACTAGAAATGTCTTATATTTTTTAACATTTAATTCCTTAAAAAATGTCTTATATTTTTAAATGGAGGGAATATTTGGCATCAAAGTATTGCATATATTTGACAAAATTCAATTGTTTTATGGTGACAATTTTATATGCAAAGATATCTTATCTCGTTTATCTTTGTGTCATAAGATGGCAACAGACCAAATAGGCGGTGATCAACATCATTCCAGAAAATCACGTCTAATACTTTAAAGCATACTTCCTTGATCCTGATTATGTGGCAAAGTTTTAAAATTTTACTTAATTCTAAACATAAAATAAAAATATGATAATTATTTTTTGTAATGTTATCTCTTTTCAATTATATCCAGTTATATATTTTAGATAAGTATTATTGAGGTTATTAATTTTAATGAAGTGCAAAATTGAGAAGTTAAATATTTTTTTACAAATTTAAGTATATGAACCACTATATTTTAAAAAAAAATTGTGAAGTTGATTACTTTTACCCTATAATTAGGATTAGAGGGAGTGGATAATTTATTGTTAATGAATTTGAAAAATTAATTTTTAAAGATTATAAAATTGATTAAACACTAATAGTTTTTAACGTCATAAATCAATATCAATATAAAATTGAAAAAGGTCTGGAATCACAATATTTATTAGTTATAAACAATTTGACCCGTCTTGAATTCATACAATTTTTTAATAATTTTGCCAATCTTTCACTGCAAATTTCATTGAGATATGTAAAATTTTATGTTTATTTCTTTAACCTCCATATGTCTATATATATATATATATATAATATATATATATATATATAAATTTTAACAAGTATTACTTATAAAGAATGTGATTGTATTTCTTAGGACTTTCATGATCTTTTCTACGTTATGAAGTTACTTTCATCCAATGATGCTGACATTTTGAGAACATATTGACATTCATCATATTATGAATATTCGATTTATTTTTATAGAGAATCAATAATGATTTTAACAATTTTAATCGCAGCTTATTTTTTTTGTGTGGATTAGTTATTCCTTTGATAAAAAAAAGTCATTAATTATTGTTATTTTAATATATTGTCGTTAGATCTAAACTTTTTTTTTAATATTTTCCTAAAAATATGGATGGGTCCACTCAACACAACGATCCAACGCGAAGTTTTGGAAAAACATATTTTATGGTACACTCTACGCACAGTCTTACCTCACAATTATTGTTTTAGACATATATCCATGAAGATAATAAAATAAAATCTTCAACAAATTAAAAAAAAAATCTCAAGCTGTTTGGATCACATTAAAAATTATCGGCTTGAAAACTTGGAATGGTTTTTATTCATCCATCTGGCTATTGACATCATAGACAATAAAATAACGTGACATTAAAATAGTGATTGATGAATGATGATACAATCTATCCACATGCGACTTCCTCGAGCCAAGCATGTTCGGCGATACAATCTGAGTATTTATATAATTTATATAAACAAGCAAAAATTTTTGTTATTATCATGCAACTAGAAAATTTTTCTCATGAACTTATGTAGAGTTCAAAAATTGAGTTGTATCCTTGCCCACATGTGATTTTTCAACTTTAGGGTATGGAATTAATATAATTTAAAAAATTAATCTGCATGTATTTTTAAATTTTAAGTCAAGTTTTTATAATTTATTTTATTTTAATATGGTATTTAAAATTTGATTGATTAAATATGTTAATCCGTTAAAATCCTTGATTTTTTTCTTTTAATAAATAAAATTAAATTTTTTTATATTTTTATTAAAAGATTATACAGCTTTAGATTATATAATTTTTATAACACAAAATTTATATAACCAAGTTATTTCTAAATAAATCTTATACATATATAATTCTTATAAAAAATTAACAAAAAATATAAACATTGCATTAAATTAAATTTTCTTTTTCCTTTTTTGGCCAAAGTATTAAATAAGAATTTTTTATAAAATTTAAAAGTGTTTTTGCTTTTGAAAAGTTAATCATTCATTAACAATCTTAACCTTTATGGATTAACACATTTAATTAATCAAATTATAAAAAAATAATTAAAACAAAATAAACTATAAAAATCTAACTCAAAATCAAAAAATTAGAAGGGCTTGCTAATTAATTTTCCCTATAATTTAAAAGGGCTGCGTCACTGTCCCACTTTTGCTTTTTTATTGGCTCAGTTGTTAGTATGGATTATCAGGATCAGACATGCATGTTAGGTATATTATATTTGGTATTTATTATAAAATATTTTTAATTATTTCACACATTTTAAAAAATATTTTTTTAATATCATAAAAAAGTTAGAAATATTTTTATTTTTATCCTTAATTTTAAGTAATAATATAACTATATTAAATATTTTAAGGCTAATTAAGAAGAAGTAAAATTAAAAAAATAATTTAATTATTATAAGGTGTCCTATGTTTTCAATTAAAAACTATTTTTAAAATGTGTTTTATAAATACAACGAGGGAGTACTTATATTTATATATAATTTAAAAAATAATTTTATTTTATTGTTGGGCACGTTACTAATAGGAAATAATAGATTTTGGACTAAATGCAGAAGTACATAAAGTTGGGTTGAAACTTAGAAATCAAGTTTCTTTTGCTTTCTCTGCCTCTCATTCATTGCATTTTTTATCAGTGTGTCCCAATCTGGCAACACAGGACATGGGCTGGAATTTCTATTATGTTGTCTTTTATAGACACTAGCATGGCCCGTACTAATTCCATTGTGTCTTGTATTCCCAGACGCCATCCTCGCCTATAGGCAATTACTTTTTTCTCATTATAATATCAGATATTTTTTTAAAAAAATTTAAAATATAAGAATACTGAATGACTTTTATATTTATTTTTTTAACTATATCCCTACTTCTTTTTAAAAAAAATTATGCATTAGAATATTAGTTATTATTATCATGTTCTTATATATGATATTTAATGAGGATATAAATAAAAAGATATTGACATTTTTAAAAATTCAAGGTTTCAACTAACATTGTTTGTAAACTGTAAATTAGTTAACCATGACTTATATTATGGTTTGAAGGGAGTAGTTTTTAATAACTGTT